GGGGAGGGGGGGGGCAAGAACGCGTGTAAATGAGTGTAAAGGAAAAATAAGAGCGTCAATTATTAATTAGATGAGTAATTAGCGAAAAGGCGAAGCATATCAAATATACGCAACCTTGAGAAGAGTATAGTGGGAGATTTCTGAGGGCTTTTATAAGTGTCGGCGGTTGAAGGAGGGCAGTACATTTAAAAAGTCAATTTTCCCCAAAACCGCAAAAAATACTAAAAATGTGAAGGGAATTTTAGGCTTGGTAGAGCACTTAGATTGAAATTAGCACTATTCATCTTTGTTCAGGCATAAAAGTTAACTGAAAACACGTATTTATGAAACTATGAGGGAATTTCAATTTCCATTTATGAAACTAAATGCATTTATGACCCAGGGTCTTCAGTTTTCCGATAGAAACGGACTTCTCACGCATTCCGAAGATGTTCCAAAAGGTTTGTGAGGTATCTTTCCTTTTCCAGAAACATACAGTTGCCTTCCCTCCTATTTAGTAGCTTTTATATTTAAGGCCAGGGGAGCCTGATAGACTTACCTCCACGTGGTGCACCCTGGAAAACGTATACTCATACGGCAAAGTCTATTAACCGTCAGTTGACTTCTGACTTCCAACTACCATCACTCCACTGTATGCCATATTCGACTACTTCCACAGTACTCGTCTTAGCTTTTCACTGCCTTTGTGTCTGTCTCTCTTACATCTGTGAATCACTCTTCTCTTCCCCCTCTCAAATTTTACTCACTGATGTTTTTCCTCCTCTGTGAAGCCTGAAGTCAACTAAAAGGCTAAAGACAACTATCAAAACGCCTCCCATTTGTTACAACAAATATTTAAGGCCATACACTTTAATCTAGAAATCACATCTTTGATACTAACATTGGCCTATCAATATTTCTAAATCACATGAGCTTGATTGCTAGTTAATACTTAGTAATTAAAAAACGTTCAAGAAGATGCCCAGTAATTGGCGCTATGTAAAGTTCAGAAATCATATATTAGAGTGCAAGGATGGAGCATGCTAGAAGCATGTGGAAATCCTCACTAATTAACACATCCAAATCAAGCCGTGAGATTCTAAGGCAGATTTCCGTGTAGATTATTAAACCTGCAGAAAAGGCACGTGAAAAGATACAAATTTCAAATAGAATGCGATAAATGGGGGTGAGTGTTGGAAAAGGTTTTAATAAGTTAGCCTAGAAATTATATTAAAGATCAATTGAGATAAGTGATTTGAACTTAATTACAATTTCAATTATAAAAAATGACAATAAAGAGACGTTAAAAGGACGCATATAAACCAAGTTTTATTTTTATCAAGAGAATGAGGTGCAAACCTTTTGAGGTGAATGATGAGGTAATCGGGGAAACGACAAATCTCGAAGGTCTTTTGAGCCTCGCGGGGTACTTCGCATCGAGGGCACAGCCATTGACTACTTCCCAAAAGTCGCTCGGGTTTAAAGAACTGTTTCATGCAATGCATCTGGAATTGGAAAATTTTTTAGATCAATTTGGGTTAACTTCTTTAGTAATTAATTAGTTTCGGGGCCTTTTTCCTCTATCCAATTTGGAAGAAGAATTGTCGATATTACATAACGTATATCAGTAAGGAATAATAAGACCAATATCGATTTAAAATCGACAAATGCAATAACTGAGATGATATATTAGCAAAAATGAGGTGTGGGATAGACAACATATAATCATACGGCAAAAATGTCTATTAACCGGCAGTTCACTTCTGACTTCAAACTACCATGACCCCACTGTGGGCCATATTCGACCCTTACCTCAGTACTCATCTTACCCTTTCTGAGCCTTCGTGTCTGTCTGTTTCTTTTACATCTGTGAATCACTCTTCTATTCCCCCTCCTGAATTCTTCTCACTTTGATGTTCCTCCTCCCCTTTTTGAAGAATTCACTGCTATTCCTCCTCCTGAATTCTTCTCACTTTGATGTTCCTCCATCTGTGAATCACTCTTCTATTCCCCCTCCTGAATTCTTCTCACTTTGATGTTCCTCCTCCCCTTTTTGAAGCCCGAAGTCAACTAAAGGGCTAATGATAACTACCTACCATTTGCTAACAAAAATAATGTTTCCTACATCTATCAAACCGCCTGCCATTTGTTATAAATAAATAATATTAGCACAAATTATCAAGAGAAATGGAACTGAAGATTTAGTCACATCTAAAATTAACTTGAAGGACTACCAAAACAATTATATTAGTAATACTAAATAAAAGGAAATAAGACATTTACCAAGTCAGATGGGCCATCCTCTGGAACTGGAACTGAGAGGTACATGAATTCATCAAAGGTATTGGAGGCTCTTGCGCAAATGAGACATTGAACCTTTGATAGTAATTGACCCTAAAATATACAATAAACATTTCCGATATAGGAGCAATTAAACATCACCTTTAATCTTGCAAGGTAAAATAGATTCTTTGTTGGCCCACATGATCGACACAATTGCATTACCAAATAAACAAAATCAACGATATCACATAAGAAAAACTTTAGACTCGAATTTTACACACCCCTCATAAACAGCCAACAATATGGATGTATTCTTAAGATGGAATACATGTAAATTATAGCATACGTTCGCAATGTTTGAATAGAATGGCCCTGGAGACCTTCCTATGAATAAAAAAACCACACAACCTGTCATCTCTCTCCCTAGTTGGTCAAAATCAACCCGTACATTTATAGCACATCACCAAATATAAACCCCAATCAACACTGACTTCGTGACCTTTGACTCAGTAGACATGTAAGTTAGCCATTGTGTTTCCTACGAACGTAAGTGTCAGTTACTAAATAGACACCAAACCAATAACCAATTTTGAAACATTCCCATGGGTTGAACAGGCGATTGCGTAATAATGATTACATTCTCCAAGCTTGAGGCCAATCACCATCAACGATAACGACTCAACAAAGTGGGCTATTGGAAGATAATTAAAATTTCATTGGCTAATAACGAGGCGATATTGCTTACCCCTTGGCATATAAGGTAAACGTTTCTTCAAGGCAGAGTTAAATAAGAATGTGAAATATGATAAGCAGGTAAAATAATAATAGACAAAAAAAATCAAAATAAAGATCAACATACATTAAACCAATCTAAAATGACAGAATCATCCCTCGCACGGTTCATATTCCACGACTGGATGCTCAAGTCTGACACTGACGAATTCTCCTTAGTTATCGATGACACTTTGATGGGCTTTGACTAGGAAAGAAATGTTGGACCATATCAGATCAATATATAAACACCTTTCAGCATACTCCACTCCTGTTGCTTAGCAAACTAGATCGACTTAGTAAGTCTCCCCCATCTCTGATTCACCATTTTAGGAGCGCACTTCTCAGGTAATGTATTATCAATAAAAATCAATCAATAAATACTTATGCCCGGGGTGTGTGATAGACTTACCTCCACGTGGTGCACCCTGGGCAACGTATACTCTTGCGGCAAAAAAGTCTATTAACCGGCAGTTGACTTCAAACTACCAAGGTCCCCCTGTATGACATATTCGACCACTTCCACAATACTACATCACATTTTTTTTTCTAAATTTTCAACCTTCGTCTTTGAAACACTCTTCAGTTCCCTGCCCCTCTTGACTTTTTTTTCACTTTGATGTTCCTTCCCCTCTTTAAAGCCTGAAGTCAACTAAAGGGCTAATGATAACCATCAAAACGCCTGCCATTTGATATAAATAAATAAATAAATAAAATACTTATGCCCTATTTTCAGCATTCCGT